TTACCCTGTAAAGTTACCTTCCATCCTGATTTTGCAGGTGTGATTCTTTTACTTTTTTCTTTTTAAATAAGGTTCTTCTTTTAAGAACCTGATTGATTTTCAGTGTCCTGAAGACAGAGGGTCTGGTCTGTACTCGCATTGCTAATACAATTAGTTGGTATATTATTCTCAAGCCTCCCCAGGAAAGGGGGTGAAGGGGCTTGGAGGGATATTTTGGGGGGATAGGGATTCCAAGTGACCCTTCCCTGAAATTTAATGTAAATCACTTGGTGGTGGCAGCAATACCGTCCAAGGACAAGGAAAGGAATTTGTCCCTTGGGGAAGTTATTAACCTAAGCTGGTAGAATATAAACTTAGGGGGTCTTTCATGCGGGTCCACACATCTGTACCCCAGAGTTCAGAGTGTGTGTGGGGGGAACCCTGACAGGGAAGCTGGTGGTTTTGATACTCAAGAGACATGGCAGAGGTTTGAACTTATGATTACAAGATAGCCCATTTACTGGATGTCTCTGTTACAGTGACAAAACAGTTAACAAAGCTGACATTTTAAAAGTCATTGTTAGGTTTCAGAGTCAAAGGCAGCCTTGATTGAATAGTGCAGTTCATACACCTGATTGGGCATCAAGAGAGGCATTTGCAGAAAACTTTACTTAGGGTGCAGGAATTTCTCAAACCCTACCCTGGACTGTTACGGGCCAGTGTTGGGGTGGTTGAGGTGACAGTCTCATCCCTGGGCTTGAAAAGGATAAATATTCCGACAATCTTTTGGCCTTTCCCCAGAATTATAAGGGGAGAAGGCCGAATGGCTGGAGGTGCCAGTCCCTCACCCCTAGGTATCTACAGCTAGATACTTATTTGGCCCTGGCCCTCATAACATTAGTATCTGAGAATGGTGGGAAATAGGGGTCTGGGGTAGAGGTACTCAGCCTTCTCCCTGGCTTCCCAGGCTGGGAGGGGATAGGGCTGATATGGGGTGTAGGAATATGCCATTCCCTTGGCCCCAGTCTGGGAGAGAATAGGGTTTGGTTGGAAGAGGTGCCATTTCTCCATTGAAGATCATAGGGTTTACCATACCCACAAATTCTTACCTTTCATTCTGCAGTATCTGCTTGCTCAGAATTGCCTCTGCCAGTCCAGACTCTATTCCCTCCAACTGCCTCTTCACGGCATCAAACATGTTCACTTCCATCATGTCAAACACCACTGGCTTGCCATACCTAAGGACAGAGGTCTGAATGGTTGATCATATGTACTACAGGACAGTCCAAGGTCCTTGGTACAAAAGATAGACAAAACAATCTCTCTCTCTCTTAATAATGATGGGTCTCAACCATTACATGTATGGGCAGCCTTCCCTTTAGCACAATGTGGGAAGGGAACTGGGGAGAAAAGGCCCCTCACTCAGCCAGCAGTCCCTTTCACGAATAAAGACCAGAAGTGCTAACTGTGAAGGAAGTGCAGCTACTGGAAGTGCAGAGTTGGCAGAGGGTATCAAAAAGCAACTCACTCCCTCACAGCCATAGGCACTACCAGCTAATGGTTTATTCATCCAGCTCACTATGCGCACTCAGATTACCAGGAACACCAACCTATGCTGTGTCCAAGCCTGTCATCCTGCCCTCCCATTCCTGGTACTCTGCCACCTACCGGAGGGCTCCCAGCAAGGCCAGTCGAATGGTCTCTATGTTCATATCGTTTGGGTTCAGTGTATTCAAGTAATTTGTGTCTCGATACCGCAGGAAAGTTGCAGCCTGCCCAGATGGATCAATGATTAATGGCCATCTGTATGTGAAGATGAGACAGACACCCATCATTAGTGGGGACAGGGAACTAAGCATCTGAACTAGAGCTGAAAGACCTAATACCAAAACCCAGTACAACCAGCAAATATTCCCCCCACCTGCTGGAGAACTAGCAACAACCAGACACTTCCTCCAGCCCTCCATGTAGGATCCCGGTGTTACCCCGGAATTTGACATTCCTGCATGTAGCCCAGAACCTGACAGTACTGCAGTAAGCAATTTTGTATGTTCAGCCACTGCCAGTTGAAAACCAAACATCACATAGCTAGGAATAATCTTAGGCCTTTGCGAGACAAGGTCAGACAGCTGCATACTTGCTGTTTGTTAATCAGAATGGGAAGATGGGACAGAAAGTTATGGAAGAAAATGAGTGACAAGCGACCTTGGTTTTAAGTGCCCCTGACGTATTGTTGTTATGGCTGGAAATATTAGAAATGTTTTGAGGTAATAAATAGTTTGCTGAAATTAGGAGAATTGGTGACCCAGTAGAGATTATGATGCTGACCCACTAGGGGAGTCACTATAGGTTATGTGCTTTGTTAGAGATAGCTATAAAAGATTAGGTAAAAATAAATACCCCTGAGCAGTCCAAGGGACTTTCCTTTGGACAAGGAGATGACATCTAAACTCCCTGTCAGCTGGACAGAAAGAGGGCCCCTGGAAGCCTGGCTGGTGGTCACTTGAAACCATCTCAGACTGTGGGTAACTATATCTGGGATGTCTTAAACCTATTGCGTGTGTGCGCTTAATATCTAATAAATAGTAGTTTTAGATAAGAGCACGCTTGCTTGTATCAATCATTTATCAGACGGAAGCGCTGTGTTCCCATTGATTTATTCCTGACACCGCCTGGAGAGAAACAGTTACGTTATCCCTGCTTTGGGTTCTGAGAAACCCCAGGTAACACTGGTGGCACCAAGGAGATGATCCCTCCTTAAAAATCTTCTTCTTATGTGATTCCTAGAAGTGAGTCTAAAATAAAGCCTCTCCATATGTCTCATCCCTCCTTTGGGTTTCCCTCTTCTCCATTTTTCTCTCTTTCTTTAAGTTGTAAGGTGATCAGGGAATACAATAATTTTGTGTCTTGTACCAAAGCTGAGCAGATTTCATGCATTTAACAAATAAATAATAGAATTATTAATACCAACAATAAAAGGGCCTTCTTCACCACGGGATATAATGGTACTAGTCCAAAAGCCCACTACATCAGGGCTGCTTAATGGCAAGAGGCGTATCAATACGTTAGGTCAGCCCCTTTGCGAAGGCTCTCTTCCTTGGTGTTGAGGGAGGCAGCATTATTGTGAAGATATTTCTGCTGGATACAAACATGACAGCAAGGGCAATATCTGTATGACCATTGTCTTTTCTAACTCACCGTCCATCTGAATGGATTTTGCCTCCCACATCCTTCAATAGCACATCATCAAGCTCTTGTACGGAGCACTTCACCCCTTGGAATTCATCCCCCACCCCTAGTAAAGGATAGAGAAAGCACTGAATAGCATTATCTATTCTACACAAAACACAGCAAGAACATTAATGTTGAATGGTTAAGTACTTCCAAGGAAAGTGGCGCAAGGCCCTTCAGTAGAAACTATTATTGTTTTTTGTATTACCATGCTGCCACTTCCCTTGGAAGATGAGTCCATAGCCTAATAACACTCACAGTCAGGAAAATTTCCCAGATATTAACCTAACTTCTCCCTTTCTTAATTTCATTCTATTGCTCTAGGTATACCTACTTGGACTACTCTAAACATTTCTTCTTCCTCCTTGGTGTTTATGGCCTTTGGAGATTTGAATCTTCATAGACACATAGATTATAAAGCCAGAAAAGAACATTGGAATAATCTAATCTGACTTTCTGTATAATACAGGCCATGGAACATCAGTCAGTAACTCTTGCATAAAGGCCAGTCATTTCTGTTCCGCATGTAGATACTTGTTGACTGTGATCAAATCCGCTATTTGGTTTCTCATACTGGGATTTAAGGGCCTACATTGGATATTTGAGCTCAAATACAAGATTTAAGCACCAAATGTAGGTGACAAGGTTTGAAAATATGCTTAGGACTATAAAAGACATAACAACAAAGTTGTATTGTATCCTCCACCCCAGACAAAGTCTCTCGTGGGCCAGAGGCTGCTCACAAGCAAGGTCTCTCCAGCAACACATCTGAGGTCAGATAGGGCAGAGCAGCACTGACTGCATTTCAGTTCCCTCTTAACCACCCATAGTAGTGAGATAGAACTCAACACTATCTGTCCACTGTCTCTATGTTTACCATCATTTTTTCTAACAGTTTTAGTCTTAATAATTAATATAGTTAGTTTATGAAGTGTCTTGTACCCAGCTGGCAGGATCTTGGGGTTCTTTTTGTTCTGACTAGTGGCTCATTGTAGAGAAACTTTCCTACCTAGTTAAAAGATTTCAATCTCAGATTCGTGGAGCACGTGCACACCATGAGTAGGATCCATATGAACAAAGACTCAAAGAACTATAGATGCACCTGGGTCCTGATCAAGAACCTCCCTCTTCCCCCAATTTAACTCTATCAAGCAGTTCATGACCAAGGCCTAAACCTACCTTCCTGAGTCTGTTCTCGCAACCTAAGCCTGGCCAGGGACAGTTTCTCCTCTGCTTTCTCAGCGGCCAGACGTAGAGTCTCCACCAACTTCTCTGCATCACCAATTGCCTAAAGTAAGGAAATACATTAGGACAAGTTTCAGAATGGTAGTCGTGCTAGTCTGTATCAGCGAAAAGAACGAGGAGTCCTTGTGGCACTTTAGAGACTAACACATTTATTTGGGCATAAGCTTTCGTAGGCTAAAACCCACTTCATCGGATGCATGATAATAGCTCACCTTAATTGATGAGTCTCGTTATAGTTGGTATGGCAACACCCATTTTTTTATGTTCTCTGTGTATATATATCTTCCTACTGTATTTTCCACTGTATGCATCCTATGAAGTGGGTTTTGGCCCATGAAAGCTTATGCCCAAATAAATGTGTTAGTCTCTAAGGTGCCACAAGTACTCCTCGTTCTTTTTGCATTAGGACAAGTTTTTCATAGATTTTAAGGCCAAATGGGACTATTGGATCATTTAATCTGAACTCTTGTATAAAACAGGCCATAGAATTTCATTCCAGTATCAATCTCACCAATACTGTATACAGAAATAAAATCACCACCCCACTTTTACTCACTACTTCCCTATACACCTAAGGATCGCATTAGACCCTTTTGCCACAGCATCACACTGGGAGCCCATGTTCAGTTAAATCCTTTTCAGAGTCACTGATTTCGGGGATACAATCCCCCATTCTGTAATAGGGGCTGTTTTCTTTGTTTCTAGAGATATGACCTTCCATTTGTCTTTGTTATAACATTTTGTTTGAATGGGCCCAGTTTACCTAGCAATCCACTTCACTCCATAGGACTATCCTGTCCTTGTCATTTTTTATCACTCTACTAATCTTTGTATCATCCACAAATCAAATCAGTATTATTGGTAGTCCATCTCTGGTGATGACGACGATATTGTCGTAGTTCTCAAATATGGCTACGCATATGACTCCGAATCCTGATGCACAGAGTCAACCGCACTGAGGGCATGGGAAGTCTGTATCTATGACGTTTGATTATGCAGCTCTGTGGTGCCTTTCACATGCAGCCTGGAGATAATTTCATGATTCTTCAGATTATCTTTGAAGTGCTTATACGGACAACCCTTCTTTCTTTTGCCCTGACTCAGCTCCCCAAACAAGATCTGTTTTGGGAGACAGTGGTCTTCCATTCTGGTGACATGCCTGGTCCACCTAAGTTATGTTCTCAATAAAATTTCCTCAATGCTGGTTGTGTTTGCTCTCTCAAGGACTTTAATATTCCTGCCAGCAAATGCTCATTATTGAACGGAGGGAGCGCATGTGAAATTGCTCAAGCTGTTTAATGTGACGTCTATAAAGAGTCCACATCTCAGATTCATACAGGAGAGATGTTAGAACCACTGCACTGTAGATCTTCAATTTGGTGGAGAAACAGATGTTGTGTTGGTTAAGAACTTTTGTTCGAAGTCGACCAAGGGCCTGGCTGGCTTTACTAATTCTGGAGGAGATTTCCTTATCAAGGGAACCGACATTTGAGATGGTACTGCTCAAATACTTGAATTGATCCACATTTTTCAACTGTATGCCATGGATGAAGATGGCTGGCACTGGAGCATTGGAATGAGGTGCTGGCTGGAACAAGATTTCTGTCTTCCCGAGACTGATGGTGAGGCTAAAGAGCTAGGCTGCTTCAGAAAATCTATCAACAATGACCTGATGTCTATGAGCCATCAAGGCGCAGTCATCTGCAAAAAGTACCTCAAGAAGAAGCCTCTCCAGCATCTTGGTCTTAGCATTGAGTCTTCGAAGATCAACGAGGGAGCCATCGAGTAGGTAGCAGATGTATATCCCCTGATCCAAGTCCCTTGTTGCATGGCTGAGAACACAAGCAAAGAACAAATTGAACAGCACTGGAGCAAGTACACAGCCTTGCTTCACTCCATTTGAGATTTCAAATGCATCGGAAAAGTCACCACTGGTGAGTACTTGCACTGTCATATGGTCATGGAACAGACGGATGATTTGTATGCACTTTCTTGGGCAGTCCAGTTTGTGTAGAATAGCCCATAGGCCCATAGACCCTCTCTGTTGACCGGTTTCAGAGTAGCAGCCGTGTTAGTCTGTATCCGCAAAAAGAA